CCCCCCCCCCCTCCCCCTCCATAATATGCATCGGAACACGCTACCAAGTATATTTCCTCCCAGAAAATTTCGTTGTTCAATATGATATACAATATAATGTATAACATCTACGGGATGATACTTAATAAGCTAAAATCTTTGTCCAAAATCGTCAGATCAGGCGAGACCAACGACTCCTGATAGCAACATCTTTACAACCAATTGGACGTACTTCTATCAAACGGAACTATGTGTATTATGGCATGAGCCCTGTTATACACACATTCTCATGGATCTCAGGGCTCATGTCTTAATGCGCATAGTTCCGTTTGACAGAAATACGTCCAATTTTTACTCATCATGCTCAGATTAAACTTTCGATTGCTCTTTTAGGATGAAGTGGATTTATGGTGGCCGAACGGATACGGTGATCATCCGCTGTATAAATTACTTGTGACTTTTGAAAGTGGAGGTGAAAAGTTCGTAAATACGAAGAATATTGGGTTCAGGACAATAGTTCTGATGCAAGATCGTATTGACCGGCTCTCCATCGAGAAAGGTAAGTAAATCATATTATTTTGCAAATAGTTGTGCAGTATTACACCACAAGTTTTTAGTGGCTTGTAGGATAAAGAAAATAAGAACGGCATATCTAAGCACTGACAAAGATTTTAGTCAAGATTAGAAAAAATCCCTGGTTTAGTTCCACCATTCCCAAGTAGCATTTTTCAACGGAAAAATCGCGATGTTTTGAAATTAAGTTGCGATTTTTTGGCGATGAAATTGCTAGGCTCATCCACATCTGAGCGATCATCCTCAATTTTGCCGAAACATTATCTCCATTAAATTGTGTTCGATTAAATCGAAATTTTATCAAAATTTATCACGATTTTTTGTTTCATAATATTGCGATAAAGCGCCGGCGATGAAATTGCGATGTTTTTGCAAAATGCGATAAAATCGAAATTTATCGCAATAAATCGACGGCGATAGAATCGTGATATATTCTCCGATCAAATCGCAACTTATCGCGATCACTTCTACTTGGGTTGTCGTAAACTTTTTGAGATTATTTTCTTCCAGCTCAGTTTGTGGATAAAACAAGACTCTCGATGATTTCAAAATTATTACTGGAACATCGTTTGATGTTACTTTCGATCCCAAAACCATTTTGTCTATGCTTGTCACCATCTTCATCAGAAGCCGTTGGAAAATATACGGTGCATGGAAATACTGAATAGGTTTCATTTTGTTGAGCAAATAATCATACTAACGGTACGGCAACGCTTAAAGTATCACCCAGAAATGAAGGCGCGCAAGGCGTTGCTGGAGTGCGCGGAATATGACAACGCTGGAACGAAAGTGTGCATTGCTGTGCAATAATGCTGAGAGGGACTTGCTGAACTCAAAATTCAATATGATGAGGCTTCCAACCTGTTCCCAAGTAGCATAGATTGCAATAAATTGCAATTACATGGTAAAATTATTGCTACTGCATCGGAAATTTTTTTATGTTGCTTATCTACCGATTGAAGGCACGTGGCTCACTAAAATTTATTGCAATAAAATTAAAATAAGTTTCGTTTTTTCATTGTAGGTACTGCATATTGTCATTGCCTATTTTTCTGACACAAGGAAGTCACTTTAATGATTGTTTAAAATCGGTTTTTATTGGCCAAATGGTGTAAAAATAATGCAATTTCGTGATACAAAAAATTCAATTTTAATGCAATAAATAGCAATTTTATTTCAATATATTCCTTGCACACTGTGATTCTTGGGTTGCCGCCCCAAGAGAGCAAAAGTTGCCACAAATATATGTACTGTCTTAAACGTAAGCCGTTGCGCTTATTTGTAATCATGCTTTAATTCTTCTCTTTGGACGCAAAAAAAGAGTCGCAACTCTCATTTGCCCCACTAATGGACAATGGACCAATTTATTATTAAATATCATTAATTTTGTTTATAATCACAGGATTGACCTTCTACTTCTTGGTCAATGGAGTGCCAATATTTGCGAAAGGCTCAAATGTCATTCCGCGGTCCGTTTTCCCCGAAGAAGATGAAAACTCCCGCAAGTATGCTGAATACCTACTACAATCCGCTGCTGACGTGCATATGAATATGATACGCGTTTGGGGAGGAGGAATCTATGAGTCGGATTACTTTTACGAGGTAAATTTTTCGAAGCTCCGTTTCTCAATCTTTAATCTTGCAGGCTAGAGGAGACAATTTTTTTTCAACTTTCACTCACGATTAGTCCTCTCTATGCACTCGTCTGAGGAAATTACGTAGTTCTTCGCGTATATACCGATGGTGAAACTTCAAAAATGCGCATATCGGTTGCGGTGTTTCAAAAGATTCACTTCTTTTTCATTATTTCTAATGGGACTAAACCGACATCACAGCTTAAAATCTTCACAGAATATTCTTTACGCAGAGAAGGAACAACACTCAAGTTTTAAAAACATGACGTTCAGTAATTTTTTATGTAAAAAATAAAAATGACAAGAAGTCGGCAACAACGCCGCAAATCGAGTTACGCATTTCTGCAGTTTCTCCGTCGATATATTGCAGGTAGTAACAAAAATATTGAGTTGCAGTACTGCCAAGCTAAGGAAGAACGCCGTATAAGCATTCGAGAGTTGCCAAATTTCCTTTGATAAAATGTTAATCTATCAGGAAAATTACGAATGTTTTTCCTTGAAATTTTCAGGAACTTCAGATCATAGTACAAAGAATATTCTCTGAAAAATTGGAAGAAAAATATTTATAAGTTTACCAGGGAATTCGTGTTTTATCGAAGGAAATTTGGCAACGCCTGAAGGTTCATACGGCGTTTTTCCTTAGCACGGCAGAGTACTCTCTTGAAAGAATTGAATTCGACGGGGAATTCCCACAAACACTTACCTATTGCATTCGAGATCCGTGCCCAAGTAGCACGGTGCAACGAAAATATTGAAATTAAAATGCATACTTTGCTTTCAATACAATTTTAATTTTTTTACCCTTAAATTGCAAGATTTTCACATCATTTAGCCGCTTTATGCCGATTTTAAACAATCAACAAAATGAGCTCCATGTGTCAGAAAGATAGGCAATATGCAATGCAATGAAAAATTGCAACTTATTTCAATTATATTGTAATAAGTTTCAATAAATGGGGCCCCTTCGAATAGGAGCTAGGCAACATATACAGCACCTAGTGGAATTGCAACATTTTTACAATGTAATTGCTACTTACTGCATATCTGTGCTACTTGGGTAGTCACACGCACCATCGATATGCGTCAGGAGTGCTTTCATTTCAGAAATTGAAAATACATAAGGCACCCTCCTCATTGAGTTGAAACCCCCGTTCTCTTAAATTTTGTTTTAGCTATGCGATCGATTAGGTATACTAATCTGGCAAGATTTGATGTTTGCGTGCAGCATGTACCCGGCTGACAGCGATTTCCTATCGAGCGTGGCTGTTGAGGTGGATCAGCAAGTCAAGAGACTCCAGCATCATCCGTCGATCGCAATCTGGGCTGGCAACAATGAGAACGAGGCCGCCCTCGTGCAAAATTGGTAAAATCCCGCTTTATTTCTAAAACATTCGCACAGAAAAACTACAATATGGTTTAAGTTTAGCAGAAAGGAGCCAAGTTTTTTGGGGGAAAAACAATGGGTGTGTGGCGATCGTCTCCTTCAACGTTGCCTTTAAATGCTCCACGTGGGTCCCTTTGACAAAACTTAAAAGCCCCTCTTGTCACATTTTTAAGATAGCTCAAAATTACATGGATCCTAATGACGGAAAGAAAGTTCAAACTGACTATTTGATGCTTAAGAATTGGAAATTTCGAGCGAGCTTTTCATAGAATATCGACGGTGAAACTACCAAACCACGTATCTCGTTTGCGGTGTTTAAAAATCTCCGCTCACATTTTATTTTTTTGAAGTAGACCAAATCAATATCATTCCTTGAAATTTTCACAGAATTTTCTCCGCACGAAGAGGAAAAATCACAGAAATTTTCAAGACTGGACGTTAAGTAGCTTTTCATTTAAAAAATAAAGTATGACAGGAAGTCTGCGACGTCGCAAACCGAGATACGTGGTTTGGTAGTTTCACCGTCGATATGCATTAAGACTAGCTTTACTTGAAACCGATAATATCTCAATTTTCTCTAAAACTGCACTTATGCGCCTTGTCCTCCAAGCCCCTCCATTGCGGTGTTTCAAAATCTATCCGCTCCGTTTTTTTATTTTTCAAAAGGGGACTGAACCAACATCTTGACCTGAAATTCACAGAATATTCTTCACTTTGAGAGGAAAAATCTCACAAGTATCCTCAAAAAGTGAAGTGGAGTAGTTTTTTTTTTACATAAAAAATAAAGTGAGACAGAAAGTCTGCAACGCTGCATAGCGAGATACGCGTGTTTTTACAATTTTAACTTCGCTTTACTTTTTATTTATAAAAAGCAGAAAAAGATCTCGCATTTCTTATTCAATCCTGGGCAGCCTCATGTTTCACCACTATGTATCGTATTATGTTACAGGTATAATACATCGACAAATGAAAGACAATACAGAGCAGATTACGTGAAATTATACGTAGATACGATTATGCCCATTATGAAAAGAGTTGATCCGAATAGAATGTATGTCACATCAAGCCCCAGCAATGGACTTGAGACCCTGATGGAAAACTACTTGTCGAAAGATCCACAAAGTTCTTTGTACGGTGATCGTGAGTGTTTATTTTCTTTCTTTTTCTCCCCCCTCTCGCTCTATTCAGAAAACGAGGGTTATTTCAAAAGTCCTGTGCGTTTTGCTCCCATTCGAAAATCATTGGTGATAGGAAAAAACCCAATTATATCCCCAGATTACCTAAACTCTCAGCTTTAATTGGACTGCATTTCGCAATTTGGAACTTCTGGCTCATCTAAAAAAACACGTATGTGCATCGAGAAACTAATGGTACATACGTTATTTTTAAAGCGGGCCAGAATTTATAGTTCTAAATTGCAAAATTCAGTTCAATTTAAGCTCTCAGGAAACGCACCGGCGCGGGAGAATGGCCTCCTGAGCGCCCCAAATCTTCCAATTTTAAAAAAAAACCTTTGGGCTTATATTGAAGCTGAAGGTATGCATGCGTAATCTGGGGGTGTATTTGGCTTTTTTCCACCTTCAATGGTTATTGAACGAGAGCAAAACGTGCATGAATTTTGGAATATAACCCTAGTAATCAGATAAAATCACTCAGAAAACAGCAAGCTATGGCAAAATATAGTGCACATCCATGAGAAGTGGAAAGGGGTTATAAGGGGGGGGGAGGGTCCCCAAAAATCGCGAAAAATAGTCTCTTGTCTGTTATGTCTGTTAGCATGATTACAGTCATTATATGTATAATTTTCAGCTTCAAAATAAATCCATTACAGATCCGCCAACACGTGGTTTTTAATTTTGACTATGATACTTAGGCATTTGTACCTTGAAAGGCTAAAGTTAATTTTTTCATTTTCTTTTGCGGACTCATGAGTTTTTATTTTATTTATTTTTTTTTTTTTTAAAAAATCTACTCAGACCGCTCAACACTGTAAGTACTTGCTGAAGTTGAATATTGATTTTCAATGATATCCTATAGTTTTGGGCCGTCTTGGGGCTCAGCAAAGGGTAGATCAATATAACCGCATCCTTACCCTGAAATAGAATTAAACATGATTGGTCTCTTCTTTGGCGAGAACCTTAAACTCGAGAATTATTTTACGAGTTGATCCCTGGTGAAAATTGGCAGTAAAATCTGTGTTCCAAAATACCATAGACCTACAGCCGGCTGTAAGATTTCCAATAGCTTCTATATAGCCGGCAACACAATTTCTTAAGCCTTTTATAGCCGATGGCGATTAAGCAACAGCCTGGCGATAAAGTGTATGCTAAACGTTACTAATTACGAATGCTAGGACTTAGTGAGTTTTTGGACTACCGCTCTCTTTTTGGGCCGCAGTATCTTGATTTAATTTGCGAGGAAAGCTCCGTACTTTTGAAGGATGCCTGCAATTCCTAATATGTTGGAGCGCCTTCAATTTCGTATGACACTGTGCAATACATCCGGTGTAAATAGTTGCTTCAAGCGCCGTGAGCGGCACGCTGCGGCGCGGCGGGCGAGCAGCCAGCGCTGAACGCGCATGGGCGCCTACAAACCTATCAGCGATACTTCACGCGTTGCGCAATGCGTGAGGTATCCCTGTTAGGTTTGAAGGCGCCAGTGCGCCGCCGCCGCTCCGCTTTGTGTTAAGCACTAATATTTAATCTCGCGGAGTCAGCGTTTTTCAACTCATGACTTTGAAATGTTTGCACACTCTGTATGAATTATTCTCATTTTAATTGATGAAAAAAGATATGTAGTAAAGGAAAATGTAATGTGCGTTCTGTGAATATTAAGGTGATTCCGTGCAAACTTAAGGATTTCCAAAGCACACGAATTTCTACACAATATCTTATAGCCTTTTATAGCCGATGGCGAAAAAGCAACAGCCAGGCGATAAAGTGTAAAGCCCGGCGATAGGAACTATAGCCCGGCTGCATAATTTTGTATCGCTTCGTGTAGCCCGGCCGTATGATTTTTTCCACTTTCTACAGTCAGCTATATGATTTTCTATCGCCCTCTTCAGTCGGCTATAAGGACTCCTATGGTATTTTGAAACGCAGCTCCTATCGCCAATTTTTACCAGGGATACGAGATTTTTTAAAGTTTTATTTCTTCATTTTTATAAATCCAGGTCATTACTACGATTATTATAAGAATAGCTGGTTATCGTATAACTACCCGCCAGCGCGTTTTTCCTCCGAGTACGGATTCCAATCAATGCCATCAAAATCAAATCTGGAACAAGCGAGCGGCGCAAATGATTCATTGGTTATGGGCGAAAAGTTCCTGGAACATCGACAGCATTTGCCCGGTGGCTACTTGTTCATGTTCAATCTCATACACCACAATGTGAAAATGTCTCTCAAAAGATGCTGTAAGTTAGAGGAGTTCATATATCTCAGTCAGGTAATCGACCTTTTTTTTCTTCTCTTGGAATGGAAATAAAACATAAAGAGGACGAAAATCCCGCAACTAAACTTAACTTTTTGAAGGAGAAAATAAAGCATATTATGAGCTTCAACGATTGGGATGCAAACTAATTACGTAGAGCGAAATACTTTCATTTAGTGCCCTGACGGCCGATTGAATACAACTATTCGTGTTTCACGGTTGTGCGTGTTGCATTCGACGAGCGATGAAGGCGCTCGGAATATTTGCTTGCGCACGTCGCGTCGCGTCGTTCCTTCACAGATGCGCGCCGTGTAGATTTTACAGTTTTGACTGCTTCAACAACTTCTAATGAGCTTAAGAAATGACTCTAAAACACATTTACGTGGTTACGTATGAATGTTGAATTTTTATCCTCATCGGAATCGATAAATTGTTCCTCGAATTGTCTGAGCTGAAAAGCGCACAAAAAAATTGTAACGTTGCGGAGTACCCGCTTATATTTTGTGCAATTTTGAAAAAATAACTATACCTATCGAACTTTATTCTTGAAAACGAGCTGTTCTCTCCTCCTCTCCTCTCTCTCCCCCCTCCCCCCTACACCATCCACCCCTCTCATTAATTATTATTCTACAGTGTTTACGTGCAAAAAAGCAATCTGAAGAGAGCTCTTGGAAAAGAATAGGAAACCCCAATGCCCATTTTAAACTCAAGACATTGAAATGATCATTAGATGCCACGACAAGAACTCAGGTCACAGCCCAAGATCATAAACCGCGTAAGAGATCCATTTTTCAATCTCTGGAACTTATTGTCACCGCTTACTCTGCTTACTCTCTTTCTTGTTAAGAGATTTTTTCAGTAGTCTTTTCTGAATTTTTTCTTTCGATTGGCGTCAAATATTGATGCATTTGTTTGACTCCTGAGCATATTATTTGAAGGAAGTTTTTGCTTTTTGCCTGCGCAGTTGAATCAAGCTTGGTCACTTAAGATTGAGACGGAAAATTATCGACAGGGAAGAGGAATCATCACGCCCTCTGGCGAGGGTCACACGATGGGAGCTTTATATTGGCAGCTCAATGACGTATGGGTTGCTCCATCCTGGTCGTCCATTGGTGAGTGAGGGGTACCTATCACGAATGAAAATGAAGGCGGGATTCACCCTGGTAAAAATTGACAGTAGAATCTGTGTTCCAAAATACCATAGACCTCCTACAGCCGGCTGTAAGATTTCCAATAGCTTCTATAGCCGGCTACACAATTTCTTATAGCCTTTTATAGCCGATGGCGACGAAGCAACATCCTGGCGATAAAGTGTATGCTAAACGTTACTAATTATGGATGCTAGGACTTAGTGAGTTTTTGGACTACCGCTCTCTTTTTGGGCAGTAGTATCTTGATTTATTTTGCGAGGAAAGCTCCGTACTTTTGAAGGATGCCTGCCATTTCTAACATGTTGGAGCGTCTGCAATTTTGTATGATACTGTGCAATACCTCTGGTGTGAAATAGTTGCTTCAAGCGCCGTGGTACGCTGCGGCGCGGCGCGGCGGGCGGGCAGCCAGCGCGAAACGCACACTGGCGCCTTCAAACCTAACAGGGATACTTCACGCATTGCGCAATGCGTGAAGTATCCCTGTTAGGTTTGAAGGCGCCAGTGCGCCGCCGCCGCTCCGCTTTGTGTTAGGCTCTAATATTTAATCTCGTGGAGTCAGCGTTTTTGAGTTCATGACTTTGAAATGTTTGCACACTCTGTTTGGATTATTCTCATTTAAGGATATACAAAGCACACGAATTTCTACACAATTTCTTATAGCCTTTTATAGCCGATGGCGAAAAAGCAACAGCCAGGCGATAAAGAGTAAACCCCGGCGATAGGAACTATAGGGCGGCTGTGTAATTTTTTATCGCTTCGTGTACCTAGCCCGGTCGTATGATTTTTTCCACTTTCTACAGCCAGCTATATGATTTTCTATCGCCTTCTTCAGTCGGCTATAAGAGCTCCTATGTTATTTTGAAACGCAGCTCCTGCCGCCAATTTTTACCAGGGCAATGAGATTGTTAAAAGATACATATACATGGATTACATTTTGCAATAAGGAACCATCATCTCCGGCTCTTCCATGAAAACACCTTCCTGAATATAGAAGTCAATGGCACATATCGACGGTGAAAGTCGGCAATCACATAACTCGGTTTGCGACGTCGCAGACTTCCTGTCATACTTTATTTTTTAAATGGAAAACTACTCAACGGCAATTCTTCAAAACTGTCATGATTTTTCTTCTCAATGCGAAGAAAATTCTGCAAAAATTTCAAGAAATAATATCAATTTGTTCTCCTTTAAAAAAATGACGTAGAAAGCGGAGATTTTCAGACACCGCAAACGAGTTATGTGATTGCCGACTTTCACCGTCGATATGTTCCTCCTAAAATGAGCCAAAAATAGTGGTTCCTTTTTGCAAAATATGGGTCATATATGTAAAACTGGCTTAAAATGCATTTAGAAAGAGAGAGAAAATCATGGATAATACGAAAAATAGCATCAAGGCTCTCTTTTTCATCTCGATTAAAGTTCATGTACACCATAATCTACCACGCATTGAGTCTACCATACGTTTTCTATATTAATATGGAGTCCAAAAATTGGGAGGTAGGTACCAATCGATGCATGGATTGCAATTTGCAAAAAGGAACCAAGAGCATTCCAATATCGCTAAGATTGTTCAACTTTTTTTACCCCGCAATTCTAAAACATGTTTTATCTTTACTCCCAATAAACTATAAATTCAGGACGAAAATTAGTTTTGTAAATTTAATTTTTTGAATGATATCGATGTTTTAATGGAGAGAATGTAGGTTGCACAAGCCTAGAACAATTAGAATGCTCTTGGTTCCTTTTTGCAAAATGCAATTCACGTGGTCTATTAAGGGTTTAGTCAACCCGTTCATTTATTCACAAACGATCCCAGAACCCTGCGAGATTCGTTCTATAAATATGTTTGTGTTGTACATCAGAAGGCATCGTCATTGTTCGTTAAATTGCTTATTATTTTTTGTTACTTTTTTTTTTTTTTTTTTTTTTTTTTTTTTTTTTTTTTTGTGGAGCGCGTTATTATTTGAAGAAAAACAACCAGTACCAATTGTAATTCTTAAACCACTTTGTAATTTTTCCTCGTTTTTCTGCACTACTCTGAAATTTTCTGTAAAAATGTGTAGACTTAGCCTGAAAGACTTTTCGATACTTAGAACATTTTTCTCTCTACTCCTTCAAATGGATGCAAAGAACACTGCATTATTGCTTACTTATAAAACTACTTGGCCCGAAGGTTTTTTTCGCCTTCATTCCGATGATTAGGCAAAACGGGCTCACACGAGTTAAAATAGGCGCCCGCCCGCTAAAAATCCGAACTTTTCTGTCATTTTTCTTTTCTAGATGTCAGATCTAAAACCGCACTTTCGCATTTTCCTCATTTTTAAAATAGAAAAAAAAAAAAAAAAAAAAAAAAAAAAAAAAAAAGGAGGAACAAACGGTGAGTCGCCAAAAAGACTCATTTTTCTGTTGAATTCGGATCCAATTGGCTTTATTTTTGGTTCTTTTTCCCCGCCAGAGTACGGCGGTAAGTGGAAAATGGCGCACTACTATGCGAAGCATTTCTTCGCGCCGATCCTGATCTCAGCACGTCAAATGAAGTCGGGGACCATTTCCATGTACGTGACTTCGGATCTCCTGACGGACATCCCGAGCTGCGAAATCATCGTTGACGTTCACACTTGGGATTCGTTTGCCAGGGAAACATCCCACGTCATATCGAACTATACGGTGGTGAGTCTGAATTGGCTTTAATACTAGGTGGAGCAAATTTTGCAATTTGGAACTACAATGCCTTTCGCAGTTTAAAAACAACGCATGGTCCATTGGGTTCCCTATGCATATACGTGTTTTTATAGATGAGCCAGAAACTATAGTTCCAAATTGCAAAATGTAGTCCAGTTATATCCATATCAATGGCGGAGGTCGAAAAATATCGCTTTGATTTTTCCCGATGCGAATTTCCTAGGAAATTCCCTTTATTGATTTATTTTTCATTTACTTACTTTTTTTAATTATTATTTTTTATTTTTGTAATTTCAAGAAAACCAATATCTCTTGAAAGTACGCAGGATTTCTTCCCCTCTTGAACGAGTGCTCTCCTAAAATTAAAAGTATAGATGCGTCAAAACTTTGGAGGCTCCTGCACAGGGCCGTCCGTGGGGGGAGGGGGGGGCAGGGGACAAAAGGGCCTAGGGACCAAGCACAATTTTAGCGTTTTATCAAAATAAAGCTTATGTAGGGAATTTCAACGAATGTTAAACAACAACTAAAGATTGTAGGTTGATTTTTTCTTTTAGCTCATATGAAGCTACTCAAAAAATATGAGGATTTGTTTGAATTGTAACAGTCAAAGTTTTTTCCTGATCGTCGCAAACCGAAAACTGCATTTCACACAAGAGATAATTTCCTCCGTTTTATCTTTGAATGTCACGCGGAATTTCCAGAGAGAGTTGCCCCCAGTTGGAAACAAATTCAACATCGTATCCGATCGCACCGTATAATTCCTTATCTCGTAGACACTCTGCAAAATGAGAAAAATTGAGGGATAATAGAAAGCTAATGAAGGCAAACGCCGCGTAAATGTACATACGGGTATTCCGCTTGAGATAGAGTGATATTTGGACGTATTTCTGCCAAACGGAACTATGTGCATTAAGACATGAGCCCTGAGACCCTTACTAAGATATGCATAAAAGGGCTCACATCATACTGCACATAGTTCCGTTTGACAGAAGTACGTCCATTTTCTGTTCAAAACTGGGCATTAAAAAATTCGTCCCTTATTTGGAGCAACAGTGCACTTTGGTGAGAACATTCACTTTTTCTTTCGCTTCTGGGTGTGTGTTTTTTTGGGGTTTTTTCTTTTTTGTCATGCGTTCCTTTTGAAAAAGACGGTCCATAGGCACTGCACAATTAGATGATAGTCAGAAACACTCATATATTAACTAAAATTTATACTACACGGGTCATTTTGAATCGTCAAAATGTGTCCCAACGAATCCACAATAGTTAATTTGACTACAAAAAATGTTAACTATCATCATTATTATTTTTAATAAACATGTACACTGAATATACTGATGAAGAATGTCTTACAGCAGTGGCGATTGCAGTACCTTTTTATAAGGGCAGGCGTTAAGTTTGGGCACGTGAGAATTATAAAAACTCCTCGTAAATGGCAGCACATTCAGTGTAGTGCATGCATCATCCCACTTCCAAGTAGTGTAATATTCGCAGGAATTTGGGTTTCCCTTGTCTCCGCATTTTTCGATCCGAAATTTAAACTGGAAAAAAATTCAATATAATGTTTAGTAAAATGAAAATTTTACAAAATTATCTTCTTTTGGATTAGAATCCAACAGATAGGTACATACGACGAGTGCAAAACACTTGGAATGACTCAATTATTATACAATACCTATACGCAATCAACTTCAGAAAATGAAAAATGTTCCCATCAAATTTTCTCTTACTTTGTCAGCAAAACTAAAATATCATCTAAAATAAAACTAACAAATTTAATGAATAAAAAATGTATTTGATGAAAGTTGCGTAAAATTCACAGGTACCTCCAATTGCGAATCTGCTAATTCCACAATTTTTTATTGAAATTTTTAATTAAACAATTAATAATTAATTTTAATTTTTAATTAATTTTTAATTTTTTTTAATTTTTTATTTATTTTTTTTTAATTTGAATTTATCATTTTAATTTGAATTTTTCATTTTATTTTTTTTTTATTTATTTATTTTTTTGTTTTGTTTTTTATTCTTAAACCACGTATCTCCATTGCAATGTTTCGAAATTCCTGCCTATATTTTTTTTTTTCGAAGAGAAGCACGCCAACTTTATGACTTGAAATCTACAAAGAGTATTTTTGACAAATAAGAAACCCCGAGGAAGTCTTCAAGAAATTACGTTGTCTACTTTTCCACACACACAAAAAAATAATCACCACATGAAGTCTTGCAACTTCGCAAACGAGGATACGTGATTTCGCACTTTCGCCATTGATTTCACGAAACTTATGTGAAAACATTATTCTGTGAGGCAATTGAGAGGTTAAATTTTTAAGTTATCGAGGCAACAAAACTTCTAGAATATCATTAAAAGATGACGAAGTGCATTAGAGACTTCAACACATGACTAAGAAAGTAAAGAGCATTTGTTTTTCCTCCTATTTTTTTTAGTTTATTTTTGAGCATTCTCGAGGTCGTTTATAATCTCTTCTGTCTCCGTTAGTCAGGGCCGCATTGGGGGGATGGCCTGGCCACATGGACCGCGGCCCATAACGCCAAAGGGGGCGGCAAATTTTGCAATCTTTTTGAATGTAGGTATCAAAAAAAGAGAGAAAAATCGGATTCAGAAAATAAATTACCAACGAGAAAGGGCGACAAAATCCCTCCTTCCCTGAGAATAAAAGTATAGTAATCTCTAATTTTTTCGTATTTCGTTGATACAAGAGACAGCACCTTTAATTAGTCGAGTTAAGAAAGAAACCAAACACGCACTTTGACCTCGAGCGGAGCGGCGCAGAGAGCAATGATGACGAGGACTGAGAAGAAAAGGAGAAGCCCTCGGTGCGGCGCGGCGCGCGGCGCGGCGGCGGCCGGCATGAAACGCATAGCGCCTACAAGACTGCATGAATACTTCACGCATTGCGCCAAAAACAGTGCGGTCAGCGCAGCGGCGGAAGTTAAAATTATTAAACTACATTATGTTTGTTCTTTCATAATTTTTTCGTTTGTTTGTTATAAATGGAGGACCTTGTCCAAACAGGGATGGGTTTACGGAACTTAACTTTCGCGTAAAGTTCCGTAAACTTTTGTTAATGTTGACAGGGCTTTCACAAAAAATGTGCCCAACACGAGTAAACGCGTCTCATACAACCCTCCACCACCGGCACGTTCACTTAACGAAGGGGACGGAAAAATACAGACGGCCCATGGGCGGCAAGTAGGTAGTTGTAGGTAGTTGTAGGTAGTAGGTAGTTCTGACCAGCATCGGTTTGGAAGATAGAACAGTTTACATGCTTTGACAGGGCGAATAAAGAAATCAAGTTGGTAAAAGTAACGTACCGATATTGGATTAAGTAGGTCTCTACGAGCAGCGACTTTCCCGTTGATGAGCATATAAAGGCCAACGCGTGAAACAGAGAAAGGGCCAATGCTCAGCACATAATCCTTATCGTCGCAATTTGTTACTTCATCCTCGAACACCATTACTTTAGTGCGGACCTAAAATTACAGAATTATTGGAGGGAATGGCTGCGTCAACAAATTGACTGCGTTTAGCGGAAAAAACCAAGCCACATCAAGTATTGCCAAATTTAACCAGGCAATTTAATTTTTTACAAGAAAACTTTCGCGCGGATTCTTTTGAAAATTTTAAGAAATTTGCTTCGTAGGTATACACTATGCAGAAAATTAACTGAAATGTGCTCAAAAATCCGCACAGCCGTTTCCATGTAAAAAAATTGAATTGCCTAATTAAATTTGGCAATAGCTGGTGTGGATTGGTTCCTTTCTGCTTAGCGCGGTCCAAATTAGAACATCCCAGCTCTTCATTGTATTTTCAACATTTTTTCCCTCCTATAAAAGTCAATTTATGAATCAGGGTTTTCTACATATTAGCCACGGCTCTAACAGCCCTCTTCTGGAAACGTCTTTCGCATATCCATATATAGTATCATCGGCTGTAAAAAAAAGTTAGGAAGCTCGAAAATTTCCAAGGAAAACTCTTAAAAAAATGTTCGGTGTCCAAGTTTGAAAACCCTCTCTTGTTCTTTTTTACGTAAAGACACCACCTTGCACTTTTACCAATTTTTTGCCTCTTTACTATTATAAATTGTAACAAACAAATTACTTACATGAGCTTTACACATAATTTTAGCTTTTTCATGTAGCATATAATGTGCAGTTTATTTTGTATTTAGCATCAAAACAAGGTGCGATTTTGAGAATTTAACAAAATGTTGATGCCAATTTTTTTTTAAATATGACCTTCAGATAGATTTTACTAAGATTGTTGCTACTGGGGATGTAAGTAAATGTTCTGCTGTGCTGAGAAAGAACGTCCGATCAACATTCGATCGTCGCCGAATTTTCCTTGATAAAATAAAAAAATCCAACTTTATAACCTTACAAAGTACATCAGTCGATAAAACTACCTGGTTGTTTGCAGAGGAAACGACAGAGAGACAAAAGTAAAGATACAAGAGGACTGTCGTTGAGAGGAACAAAACACTCATATCGACTTGAGTAATGCAACGAACGAAGGGATCCGGGGAGACAAATCGGCGCTCTGCGTGCGCGAATGCGTTGGGAAATTGCAACCGAATAACACGCCAAATCGAAATTTTTCAGATGAATTCTTATTTCCGGTCGATCATAATGTTACAAATCACACTGACAAGAACGGTCATACCATCTGCATGTAACACAATCAGGATACTCCATTCCGACTGTTTCGAGTTAGTCATCCATAGAGCTACTAGCGAAGTTGATGTTCGCAGTGGTTGTGTTTCACCACCTATTAGACCTCTCCCGCGTGTAGTTTTCATCTGGATTACCTACATTTAGCAAAACGGAACCAGCGCGATTACAGTGTTTTCAAAATCGTGCGACTTCTCCTTTTCTTTTAAAAATATACTTAATATGTGTACACTGTTAAAATTCACACTATTATGTTCCTTCAAAATTAACACTTTTTGGTGGGAAGTCAAAACTATTCGCTATTCTGGGAGATTTTTTAGATAATAATGAATAAGCAACATTTTTACAGCACTGTAATCTCGCTGGTTCCTTTTTGCTAAATGCCATCCATCTGTGCCTCTTGCAAAATTGTGATGGAGTTGGGCATAAAATGATCCTTAAGATGAATAATTATTAAAAAAATTAGGGGACTGTAGGTATCACAGCACGAATTAGGAGTTAATTTTGTGTCATTCTACACCACCTTGGTAAAAATTGGCAGTAGAATCTGTGCAGGCCCGGACTTACGGCGTGTGCAGGGCGTGCGGCGCACACGGGCGCCAGCCTTTGGGGGGCGCCACGAAAGAAGAAGAGAGGGGGAAGAAAGGGAAGAAAGGGAAGAAAGAACAAGGGGAAAAAAGGAAAAGGAAACAAGGTTGGGTAGTGAAAGCAAGGAAGAAGGGGGAAATGGAAGGAAAAAGGAGTCCGCGAGAAAGGGAGGGGGCATAAAACCATAGACAAAATATAAAGAGAATTGCCGTCTAAAGGTAGATTTTTAGGACAAAAACTCCACCTGGTCCATAGACGGTCAGGCGCCCCTTGACACTAAATTTGCGGCTGTACAGAAATGAAAGAGTAGGCATGTAGTAAGGGGGCGCCATAAATCCATCGAACAGGAGCCGACATAGCATTTTAGGCCACGTCCGCCATCTTGGATTTGAGAATTTTCAAAAATCGACTAAACATTCGAGTTTCCCGTCGAAAAGTACCCCTGATCCCCGGTTCACAAAGCTCTAACGAACAGAAACGGAGGCCAGAACCGGGGCTCATTTTAGGCCACATCCAACATTTTGGAGTTGAGAATTTTAAAAAGTTGACTAAAAATTCGAGTTTTCCGTTGAAAAATACCGTGTGATACCGCGTTTCACAAGACTCGAACAAACAGAAACCGAGATAGAATTTTAGCCCACGTCCGCCATCTTGAATTTGAGAATTTTAAAAAATGGACTAAAAATTCGAGTTTCCTGTCGAAAAATACCTCCTGACACCGAATTTCAGAAAAATCCATTGAACAGGGGCCGAGATAGCATTTTAAGCCATTTCGGTTTTTCGAATTTTGAATTTTTTGAATTTTGACGGATTTTGATTTAAAACGCGTGATCCCCAAAATCGAAGCTCAGATTCGGATTTCTCGTAAAAAATCGATGCGATTTCATGTATCATACCCTGACACCGAATTTTAGGAGAATCCATCAAACAGGAGCCGAGATGGCATTTTGAGCCACCTCAGTCATTTCGGATTTTTAAAGTTGAAAACTTTTACTTAAAACGCGTGATACCCAAAATCGAAGCTCAGATTCGGATTCCTCGTAAAAAATCGATGCGATTTCATGTATCATACCCTGACACCGCATTTCAGGAAAATCTATCGAACAGGAGCCGAGATGGCATTTTAAGCCACGTCAGTCATTTCAGATTTTCGAATTTGGAAAATTTGACTTAAAACGCGTGATACCCAAAATCGGAGTTCAGATTCGGATTCCTCGTTAAAAATTGATACAATTTCATGTATCATACCCGAGCATAGCGTGAAGGAAAGAGACGTAACATAGACATACTGATTCGAGCATATGAATCCAACGTGGCAACATGGGTAGTGCTCAGTGGGTCAGCGGAGGAGAAAGAATAAGAATTTATCGTGAGAAATTCCTCGGGACGAAACCGAACGCTTAGCCGGCGCTTAAGCGGCGCCTCCCCGTTCGGTTTCACTCGGGCGACAGGCGGCGGCGTAGTTCAAAGAGGAAGTACGACAGAATCTATACGCGTCGTTAAACCTTTTTCCTTCACGCTATTTTAACATATGATACATGAAATTTCATCAATTTTTCACGAGGAATCCGAATCTGAGCTTAGATTTTCGATATTACGCGTTTTAATTGATTTAAAATCGTAGGAGAAATTACAGAATTGACCTTGAAAATTGATCACACATTAGTGTTTTTTTACGTCATTAAACCTCTTTTCTTCACGTTCTTCTAACATATGATGCATAAAATCTCATCAATTTTTCACGAAGAATCCGAATCTGAGCTTAGATTTTCGATATTACGCGTTTTAATTGATTTAAAATCGTAGGAGAAATTACAGAATTGACCTTGAAAATTGATCACACATTAGTGTTTTTTTACGTCATTAAACCTCTTTCCTTCACGCTATTCTAAAATTTGATGCATGAAATCGCATCAGTTTTTCACGAAGAATCCGAATCTGAGCTTAGATTTTCGATTTTACGCGTTTTAATTTATTTAAAATCGTAGGAGAAATTACAGAATTGTCCTTGAAAATTGATCACACATTAGTGATTTTTTACCCCGTTTTTCTTCTGCGTTCACGTAATGAAATTAGATCAACAGTTGACTCATCGACTAGTCTAGCCCAACCCCCCAGAATCGGTCTAAAGGGCGAACGATTTTATCAGATAAGATTTGCGGTCCTAGTTTCCGGGCAATTGCGGTTTGATGGAAGCTGCGATGAGGAGAAACGGAAGATATGCGAAACTCGGGCGGATATTAAGTGAGCAACCAGGTAGGGGAAAGGCTTTCTTCCCGAAAAAGTGCTCGGGCCAACTTACATGGTCACCGGAGCATTGTATAGCAGGTTGTGGGAAACTATTTTTTTGCAGCAACAACCAATTGGATCGCATTTTGCAAAAAGGAACTAAGAGCATGTCAATGATGCCTGGATGTCAATGATGTTTCCTGGATTGTGCAACTTAAGTTAATTCTACGTGAAAAATAAACTTTTCGACGGTAATTTTCGTCTTGAATTCATAGTTTATTGGGAGTAGAGGTGAAACTAGTTTAGATGATCGTTTATGTTTGCAAGGTTAGCGACATTGGAATGCTCTTGAATCTGTGACCGTAGACCTTCGGCCGGCTGTAAGATTTCCAATAGATTCTACAGCCGGCTACACAAATTCTTATAGCCTTTCATAGCCGATGGCGATTAAGCAACTCACAGCCAGGCGATAAAGTGTATCGACGGTGAAACTACCAAACCACGTATCTCGTTTGCGGTGTTTAAAAATCTACGCTCGCATTTTATTTTTTTGAGGTAGACCAAATCAATATCATTCCTTGAAATTTTCACAGAATTTTCTCCGCACGAAGAGGAAAAATCACAGAAATTTTCAAGACTGGACGTTAAGTAGTTTTTCATTTAAAAAATAAAGTATGACAGGAAGTCTGCGACGTCGCAAACCGAGATACGTGGTTTGGTAGTTTCACCGTCGGTATGCTAAACGTCACTAATTACGGATGCTAGGACTTAGTGAGTTTTTAGACCACTGCTCTCTTTTTGGGCCGTAGTATCTTGATTTATTTTGCGAGAAAAGCTCCGTACTTTTGATGGATGCCTGCCATTCCTAATATATTAGAGCGCCTTCAGTTTCGTATGATACTGTACAATAACTCTGGTGTGAAATAGTTGCTTCGTGGGATGAGCCTGATACTGAATTTCCGTGAATTCATGAAATCAGCGTTTTGCGGGCCCTAGTACCCCAAGCAGCATTTTTAACGAAAAAGTCGCGATATTTTGAAATTAAGTTTCGACATTTTTACAATTTTTTGGCAATAAAATCGCTAGGATTGTCAACATCTGCACGATTATCTTCGAAGTTGATGCAATTTTATCTACAAAATCGCGTTCGCCAAAATCGAAATTTTATCTCAATTTACCACGATTTTTTATTCGATAATATTGCGAAAAACCGCCGTCGATAAAATCGCGATTTTATCGCAAATTTATGCGATGAGATTGCAATTTATCGCGATTTTTCATCCGATAACATTGCAATAAATCGACATGAATAATATCGCGATACATTCTCCGACAATCGCAAGCTATTGCCATCACTGCTACTTGGGGTGTAAGCCGATTCCGTTGGACTTTTCGGCTCTGAATCTAGTTGGTGCTCACATCCTACTTTTGTGAGCAACTATTCGTGTCTAAGAGATGTTCGTTTAGTGGAAAATAAAAATTGAAGGCGACCTGTCGTTTTGTATCCTCGCAATAATACCGCCCGCCACGCCGCGGTGAAGCGGCGAACGCCTGTAGAGTAAAAACTCCTTCACTTTCGTGCATATGCAACACGGACGCTCGAGTAAGCCTCCCCCCCTCGGGAAGGGGGGGGGGTGATAGTCGCAACTGCACCCTTCGATGTTTGGGAAACGTGAACCGCCTTCAATTCAGAGAGTATGCAACCCACAAAAGTGTGGGCCCCTTGCACCCGCCAGTATCCTGAGCCTGAGCGTTAATCCGGCCCTGCAGCTACATACATATAAGTATTCATACATATATTCAGCTGTTCCTCACGTTTTTTGAGATCTTAAGGGGGAGGTCAATCAAGCGTTACGTCATTATTAAAGGGGGTCTGGGGTTGCGTTACGAAGCGTTACAAGGAGGAGTTGAGAGAGCCAAAAAAGCGTGACATAATTTATGGACGCTAACAAAACACCTGGAAATTCTATATTTTTTCAAACTTTCCTTTCAAAAATAACCTAACTAAGTATGTCTGAAGAGAATTACTTGTAAGTAATTGTCGTGGGTACATATAACTAAATATTTGTTTCTAATTTGCATGCTTTCCAGAAAAATGCAACATCAGAGTTGGTTGAGTCATTCACACTGAAAAGTTTGATTAACAAAAGCACTCCAGCGAAGATTTCGGGAAATGAGAATGTCACTGAGGAGAAGGACCGATTTTCTCCGGTTTATTTCCTTCATTTGCAGTTATACGACGCTGCTGGAACACTTTTATCGCAGAACTTCATATTACCGCAAGGTTTCTTGAATATCACAGGATTCGAAACAGCTAACGTCACGGTAAGCGAAAGTCAGTTTTCTATTAACCGGGTGCAGAGATGCAAAATTTCATGAGATTTTATTTTATGAGACTTTTCATAAAAATTGTATTCAATCTCGTTAAGTCAGGACAGTTGAAAACCTTGCTGGACGCCTACGTGATTATTAAGAGGCGAGCAGAAAACCACGTAGGTATCTTTAGACAGAGTACGAAATAAGGCCCAAACTACGTCTCATTTCCTCAAAATTCTACTGAGACACAGTAATGCAAGTGCGACATTGAAAACGAAAAAAAAAAAAAAAAAAAAAAAAAAAAAAAAAAAAAAAAAAACAGATCAAACTCAGATAAGAAAAAAAAATCGTAAGCATCAATGCATAAGTAACGTTGCGGTTCCAGGACCATTCCATCAACGATTTTTTGTCCGCGCACCTGTTTTGGCCTGTAGTTTACATCCACGCGTAAAGTATGCAACAGTGACTTGGTCCGAGTGTTGCCTGCGTTACTTACATTTTAGTCCATGCGTAAAATTATACTGACGATATCGAAATTAGAAAATTGAGATAGAAGTAGGTATTATTACGCATTTATTTTTGTTCTTCCTTTCTTTCTCCTTTTTTTAAATGAAAATATTACTTTATATTAAAAACATTTACATTTTTCAAACGTGGCAAATATTTGTAAATCTTCTCCAAGCGATGACATCGATATTAATCTCAATGAGCCGTAGTTGTGGTGAAAGGAACTATACAAAAATGAATAAAAGAGGGGAAAAAACAAGAAGCACGCAATCTTTAGTTTTAACCGATTTGTACATGTATCTTATAGAGTTAAATTCGTCCAATTTTGAGTTTTTGGTTTCGCATACACCACACTGCAGCACAGTAAAAGCACAAAATAAAAAAGAAAAAATTAAAGTGGTTTGGTAATCATTAAATTTGACACAGAAAACCACCTTCATATTTACCAAACGCACATTAAATTTTCCTTCAATACATATTTTTTTCATCAATTCAATGGAGAATAATCCATGCAGACTTGCAGAGTGTGGAAACTTTTCAAAATCATGAGTTCAAAAACGCGGACTCCGCGAGTTTTAATGTTAGAGCCTCTTACATAGAGCGGAGCAGCGTGCTGCCAGCGCGAAACGCGCACTGGCGCCTACAAACCTAACGGGGATACTTCACGCATTGCGCGATGCGTGAAGTACCCCTGTTAGGTTTGAAGGCGCTGATGCGCTGTAGTCACCCTCGCCAGCCGCGGCGCGCGGCGCTTCAAGCGACTATTTTGCAATAGAGGTGTTGCACAGTAAAATACGAAATTGAAGGCGCTCCAACATATTAAGAATGACAGCCATTCTTCAAGAGTACGGAGTTTCCCTCGCAAAATAAATCAAGATAATACCGCACAAAAAGAGACCGGTAGTCCAAAAACTCACTAAGTTCTAGCATCCGTATTTAATAACGTTTAGCATACTTTTTGAATTTCATTAGAGAAAAAAGTGACCCGATTTCGGCAGAAACATTATTGAGTATACTGTCAAGAAGATTTTATTTTGAATCAAGAGTAATATAGCAGAACGAAAGCGAAAAAATAGACTAATTTTGAATGTTAGCTTATACAAACGTTGATTTTCACTCATGAGTGAACTCTGGAAGTTTTAAACAAGATCGTGCAACTTGTTTAGAGTGAGATTTGGACACAGGCGCATGTCTTGAGAAAGTCGTGTACGTAGGTAGTTGATTTAACCCTATATCATGTGGTCAACTACTTACTTATTAGACCGTAAGGCCGCGAATCACCGAACGCACTGAAAACGCCTTCAATCAGTCGGTTATGCAACATGATCTCTGAGATTAAAAAATTACTCGGTATGCTCAGGGTGAACAGCCGGCGCGGCGCGCTCGCATCAGTGTTCTTCCTACTGCCAAAGGCGACACCAGAAACATTATTTTACACCGTTCATCTGCTTCTCTCCTTCGCTTGAATACCAACATCAACCGCAGGGATTTTGCGCGAGAGAAAGAAGTGTTCATCGCAAGCTATTGCGACCGGTCGTTTCCCTATTATACGCCCATACCTCATCGTTTTCAGGTCTTTTTAAAGTCATGGAATTTCCAGGACTAAGTAAGTAAGTATAGGACCCGAGGTGCACTGAGAAAAATGTTCAAGTATATGATTTCCGGACGAGAATTCTCGCTGAGTGAACCGGAAATGGTTTTAAAGTTACAGGAATCGTCTCTATGAAATTACGTTATAGGAATTCCTAGAGATTCTCTGATGACGCGACGAAAATTTTCGCGCAGGAATAATTGCATATTTGAAATTTTTATTGCTCCAACAGAAAATTTTACTTCATGTAAGTAGATAATCGAAACTTCCAGAGAAAACTATGAATAAACTCAATTTTTTTTTTTTTTTTTTTTTTATAAAAAAATATCGAAATTGACTTAGTACTAATTTTAGGCGTTGGCTTGGCTTTTTGAGTCTTTAAAAAGTTAAAAAATTTTAAGAAAGTTCATCTTGATCTCATTTCACATATTGAAACACCATGAAATTTTGAATCTCAGAGCCTGGCAGAGGGGCACTTGGCAACCCCTTTCATTCTATGTCCATCTCGCACACTCAGCATATGAAGTCTTAGCTTCAGTAGCGTTTGAATTTCAAAAGTACACGTAGTTTCTCCTTTCCTGCTATTGGAAAGAAGTATGTTTTTAACATACATTTTGGCGCATTAGATTAAATCCTTAAAAACAGATTATGATTTCCTTGTTTCTATCTTGTTCTAGATTCATCACGTTCAGAGTATTGATGTGAAAAAGTTTACTATCCATTTGCAAACTAATAGACTGGCTGCTTTCGTATGGTTGGAGACGACTATCCCTGGTCGATTCAGTGACAATGGTTTTATGATGATTGAGCCCACTATGCAACTTAACTTTACAGCAGATGCTGAAATAGATAGTGAAGATCTGCAGAATAATCTCAGTGTAATGAGATTGAAAGAAGACTACTAAGAAAATAGTTTAGTGGATAAATTGTTAAAGTTTGTGTATATAATATTTTCTTAATTTTGATTGTTCAATTTTGTACTTAAGAAAAGAGAAAGAAGAAAAATTTAGGTATGAAAATCACAAAAAATGAAAGAAAGTCTACAAAAAAGTTTATATTGAGCGATTCTTATGAACTCTCGCTCAAGAATCTGAAGTTAAAAAATGAAAATATGGCAATTTTGCACAATCACTATAAAAAAGTAGGCGACAGTAAGTCAAACAATTTGAGCTACATCCTTCCTTACACTCCCTTTTTCCTTCTTGCTAATTTCTTAGGAAAGTGACCAGATACAGGGTAACTCATAGTCCACGCTTTCCTTGGGCAGGAATAAAAATCAAGTTAAGGCGAAAAGAAAGGAATCTACAAAAATTAAAAGAAAATTATCAAGATAGCTAGGCACATTTTCATACCTAATCAACTAATACTGCGTGAAATTAGGTACACAATAAATAAGTACACTTTCCTACAACGATATGGCTAAAATTGAATCATGGCAATATTGTACCATATTTCTACAACTGTACAGCTTGTAAACACTGTGTTCACAGATGGCACTTGATGTGCTGAGAGTATTCTTGCAGAATCCTTGATATATAAATATTTATGGGATATTGATGGAATACTTAAGTGGCCACACAGCCTATGTTTTGAACATTCCACACTTGAGTGTTCATAGAGTATTTGGAGTGGAAAATGAGCGACAAGCAATAACAAAAAACAATGTATTCTTTCCAATTTTATTTTTATTTTTTACGTTCCTTAAATTAAATATTTTCAATTTGAGTAAAGTATCTTATTTAATTTTAGCTTAAATAAATATACAACAAATAACAAATAACAATGATAAAACAATTAATGTAGAAAGTCTTTTGTTTACCGTGTTTAAAAACCTAAAGAGATGAAACGATGTCTAACTGATCTGAGAGAGGGTTAAGTAAATAAGGTTGGTAATGAGGTGGTAAAGACTAATAACAGAAGAAACATAATTATAGTTTTTAAGAGATTGCGGATTAGATATTGTTCCCTTTAGATAACCATTGCATTCTAAATTAAATTTCATGAGGTTGGAGTGGTCTAAAACAAGTTGTTCAAAATTGTTAACGATAGAACACACCATTAAAAGGATGCCAGCAGGATGAATACCTGACTAAATGTTTGATTTTTGATACATACATTGTTGCACTAAAAATTCGTGAAAGAAAGTTAAGGGATACATAACTTTCATATACATGCACTCAGAATAAGTTTCCAACACCTTTTTTATTTTTCAATCAATTTTAATCCTTTTAATTGCAAACTAAAAAAATAGGTATAAATTCTCAAGAATAGGTATCTATGATATGTAAATCATACAGTAGATAGTAGCACTGCTTCTAAGAGGGATTCTGGGTGTCTTGTAGTGGCTTATTTTCTCGGCTGAAGGGTTTTTTGCATTGAGATTTTAAGATACACTTGCCGAACATTGGACAACATGGTACCTACTACCCACATTTCCATACAAAGCCTTGATTGTATCAGAACCTACCACTGTAAGGGCTACTGTCAGGAGTGAGATAATTTTATTGTTACTCATACAAATCAATCTTGCAGTGACAAATCAGTTAACACTCATTCAAAATTAGTTCAATGCCAACAGCATTCAAATGGATGAACAGAAATTATTTTGATTGCTTCAATGTAAAAACTAAATAAATTTTACATGAAATACATATATATCTGACCACTAATTTTTTTTTGCTTTCATGATTTGTAATTTGATTTGTTACCAGCGAACTCCAATTTTAGGCAAACCTAGGTTCATCAACAAAATAGGATGAGGCGAACCTTGATGAAATATCAAAGAATACAAAATAAAATATGGTCCCACTAAACTAAATCGACCTGAAACACTAATTTTTTTCTTCACCAAAACTTTGAAGGAAATCAACTGATTTAAATCGAACTCCTATGTCTGCCGCTTTATCTAACATTACTTTTATTATAGTGACTAAATTAATCCATGTGTGTGTATGTGGTCAGTTAAGAAATATCAAACATGTTAGATTATAGTTTTCTAAGTATCAGAAGACCAGGCAAGAGTACCTTTTGCAGCACATACCTACTGAAATATGTTGAGTCCAGAAAAGATTTTCTGGGTTTGCGTGAAATTAATGTTAAGGTTAACCTAACTTTGCCTGAAAATTGAAACTCGCTGTTAACAGATTCATATAAAAAAGATTTACCAAGACCAAAACCTCAAGTAATATGTGCTAATTTTGTTCCATAATGAACTAGAAATTTCTGTACAAAGTAAGCTTTAGGCATAAGTAAAAATATTAATAAAAATGCAAGTTTGTGTAAGAATTTGCGAGAAAAAGAAGCAAATTCTCATAGATTAGATTGTGGCATGTTTTTAGAAACCACATTTTAATTGTTTTTTCTAACAAGAATTAGTAGCAATTTAAGACCTTTGAGAATTACTTATTTTGACAACTGAAGTACCCAATATCATACAGGATCTTCTGCAAAGGCATTTAGGGTTCTTTACCAAACAGTGCAGAGGTTATTTTTAGACGGTTTGTAAAAGAGGCCCTAGATAGATATTCAACTGCAAGATTTCTTTTTGTTTTTTCTTTTCAGGAGGGGATTTGAAAAGCTTACATTTTTTATGAGAAAAGGATAAAGAGATAATACATATTACACATTACAAGGCATTACAAAATATTGATTGCCATTAATGATGACAAGAACTAAAAATTAAAGCAAACCACATTTTGGCAGCTCATGAGCTTTTAGCTTAGAATTTTGAAAACAGATTTTCAAGATGAGGAGATAGAATTAATGAATAAACTGTAAAAATATTTGAGTCCAGGAAAAATTATTGGGGATTTATGAAAGCACACAATGTGAAAATCTAAAAGTAACCTGAGAGGTATAAAAACGGAGCAAACCAAGTTGAACGCACCCCAGACTCTACATCTTGGCCTGCATATAATTAGAATTAGAATTCAAAATTATTTACCAGGGCATTATCTACAAAAGAGGTAATGCTACAAAGTAAGATGATTGGTGAAAGCAATGGAAATTTTGAGGATGAACACATAAAAATCTTTACAGGGGAAACGAGGAAAAGAAAAAAAATAATTTCGATTAAAAAGAGAAGAGTAAAAAATTGATTAGTAAATTATGATACATTGATTGATAAAGCTAATAGTTGAAACATAACATTTGAGAGCACAGAATTATTTTGGAGAAATGTTTTAACAGATTTGTTTATGACAAAATCACACTAAACTTCTGAGTTTACTCTTTAACACTTTACACAAAAGTTTTTTAAATAATTTGAAATTGAAATAGTTGCTAATGGAATCAAGGTTTCACTAAAGATTGCCTAAATATAAGATTGGCACGAAATTTTCTTTCACAAGCTATAAATTCTTACATTTCTCAAGACATCAGGCCCTATTATCATGGCGTAAATACTGAATAACCAACATTAAAAGCAGTTACAGAATGAAAATAATTTTGAAGAGGAGCCTCATTGGAGGCACTGGAAAACATGAAACTGCTATCAAATATACTGAACATGGATTGAATTTTCATGGGATTTGCAAGTGTTACTTAAGGCACTTCCAAATACAGAAAAACTGCACTTGAATTAGAGAGGCAATTTGACAGGATAAAATTCTTAACAACTAATGGTAAAACTTGAAATGAAGATGAACGAAAGTATCTAACAATCAGGTTATCAGGGCTTAAATTATTTGACTGCTTGCATAGATATTATGCTCCCAGAGATGAGATAGACATTGGTCAAATAAAAACTGAACTTGAGAGAACTTCCACAGAGACAGATTAGAATATAATACGTATGCTACTTCATCAAATGCTTACGATTAAAAAGATCAGACTTATTTTTGAATCACAAAGACTAAATTCACACAAACAAGCAATATGCATCATGAAACCGTTCATAATACAATTAAATTTATAATCACAAGTTACATTGTTTTTAGAGTGCACTGTACAAACAAAACACATTATTTAAGATTAAAATTTAATAGCGCACTAATTTGACACATTGACAATTTGTACAGAGCAAAGAGTTTATACTGATTAGACAGTCGATGATAGACAAGTTTTTTCAAATCTTTGATGATTCAAAATTTGCGATGACTTGACACATAAAGTGACAAAATTTGAACAGAAACTGATATAACTTTGTAATTTACTATTTCTGTTGAATGACATACACCCTGGGGATAGTCAACATGAAATAAAGGAGCTTGTCACTAGTTGAATGCAATATATAGGCCAACGATCATTAATAGTCATGATACTTGTGAAAAAATGTTGAGTGTCTTAAAATTGGGTTTTCAGAGCCTGAATATGTTGATGATACAATTCACTGTATTTTTCTCAAGGATGTACCCAAATAACATTTAAAAAAAAGAGTATTGATTTTTCCAGGAAATCTTACTATTTGATGTTTATCTACAAAATTAGATTATTAGAACTCAATGTTTGATACACTCAACGAATTTATTGTGAAAACGAGAGGGCAATTTGACACGGTCAAATTATTGATATTTGTTGGGCCTATTAGCTGCCCGAGACATTTTATAATACAGGAGCTTTTAAAGTATCATTGCCTTAGATGGAGGCATAACTGAAAGTGCACTAACAATAGGTTCAAGAATAATTACTATCTTAAAATTATTAGAAACTTTACATTATTATCACTGAGGTATGGTGTTACACACCAACATAAAATTATCAGTCTATTTTTGAGACAACTTCTTATTCAAAGTCTAGTAAATATACAATATATTTAAACTCTTCAACTTCTTAAATCATGTGCAATCATTTGCCTGCTGATTATTGAATGGATCCTGGAATTGATAGAGACAGAAAACAAAGAGAAAATGGAGCGATCCTATTGGTAAAAGCAGTAATGGACAGAGGAGGTAGGTTAGACTAACTAACAACAACCCTTGAGAGATCTTATAGTCAGTCTATCATTTTCTCCCTTTAGTTCAAGAGCCCGACGATATTTAATGACGAAATTAGAACACACGTTTTGATCGCTTAAATCTGTACTGATAAGGAAAATGGTGTCTGCAACGTATTGGCACACACTACAACAAGGCAGACAATCATTTTCCAAGTCAGTACATGTAATGCTATTGATTTAAGTGATCAAAATGTACGTCACGAGTTAGTCACTGAATGTCTTTGGACTCTTAGACTATTTAGTCTGTAACGACTGCCAATTTCAAGCAATAGATTTGCAATATTTTCCCCTTGGCTTCTTTGTTTATCAATTTCATTGATCAGCCCACTATTCTTTAAATCCATTTTTAAATGCATATAACATTACAATTTAAAGTACTACTTATTAAGCGCAATTCAACACCGACTCTTCCTGTTAGATGAAGTCTCTCTACTTCTTCATTGCGGGCTGTAAAATTATCTCTCATATATAAGTAAAAAAGTTAAGTTACCAAGAAATATCAGACATTGTGATAAATTGCAATAAAAATGCAGGAAAAAAATAGCTGAGCAGGGGACAATGGATTNGGGGGGGGGGGGGGAGAGTTTAGAAAAATTCATGGAAATATTCACAGGATTCATTTCAATTCAATTCATCATTGAACTTTACCCCTGTTAATAGATTAAATAACTGGGTCAGAATTAAAATCAAGCATTCTTCCTGCCCAACATTGACAGCTCTGTAGATTTTCTATTCTCCATTATGATTAGGATTATCAGATAAGTGGTGTTGCGAGCTGATTCTTGATTCTTAAAGATTTTGCTCTATTCAAATGTAAAAGGAAATGAATGCACAGAATAACTTATAAAACTGAAAGACCACAGGACATTATCCTGGAGAGAATTACGATAAGTGAATAAATTGCACAGGAATTAATTATGATCAATAGAAGTTCTTTCCAGTACACATGCAATATAAATACATAGCTAAATCTCTGAAAAAAATGTTCACTGAATCTTGAAAACTGATTTCTTTGACTCTTATTTAAGAGTGAATTGTAGATAAGAAGCTAAATGATGCTATGATAGGCATGTTTAATTAAAACTAAAAATAAAAAAAAAGTAATATATACAATTAGGTGAGTTTAAATCAAAACTGATGACAAGGTAAACAGGTTAGTAAATCAAACAGGGTATTTGATCAATTAATTAAAATACTTGCGTGGGTTCCTTGCAAAGTTCCAACTTAAGGTTTATTATTTTTGGCAAGGTTATGAGAAGCCCAGTTGAGTGAAGTCTTCCAAGAATTACTCAAAGCTTCATCAAATTTACTTCTAAAATGTGTCAATGCTTCATCCTCTGATAGATCCATTTTTAACGTATCTTGAAGATACTGGAGATCTTTTTCACTACTAAGTTCCGGTAAGCCCGTTGAGATCATCATTGCAAAGAGTGACATGAAGAAGCTTCCTTTCCGCCGCAAAATCAAAAAAGCCTAAAAGATAAAAAAATCACAATCTAGTTAAGAAGATATGAAAAAAATTGTGTATAATTTCTGTTGGGATTTATGCACATGTGAAACAATAAAAAAAATAAATGTGATTTAAAGTCTACGAAGGTAAAAAATAACTAAGTAGGTTGAGCATTGTCAAACAGAGGACATTGATAAAATAGGAGAAAAAAGAGATGTTTGCTATTTAGAAATGTCAGTAAGAAATATTTGAGGAATGAAACTTCAAAATGACCTAAGCTTCCTCACATGTTTTTTAAATTGAGCAACAATTATTTTCAAATAATCGGAATTCACCGGTCTGAGATTAGTTTTCCTATAATAAAGACAAAAAGGTGAGAAAAAATGTCCAAATAAAAAGTTCACGGGACAAAAGCACTCAGATGTTTGTGTTTCTTACTATGCATGATCTTGAACTGAGAGGTAAATTGAATTTAATGAAAATTCTGAGAAATATATTTTGAAATTAATTTTGAGAAGTATAATACTCTTCTGATGTAACTGCTCCTGTCCAATTGAGGGTATGCCTTCCATTTCCACATGTCTATCAAAGGAGGCTTACCAATAATATGATTACAAATTTATTTTTAAAAATTGTAAACTGCACTTTACATTGCATTCTCTTGCTTAATTTTGCAATCAGTCATACTTATAGTTGGGCCTTTCATTTGGGTATTAAATTTCAACTGAGTAATAAGATGCCTTTTTTATGTAAAATCTTGATGTTTATAAAATCATTGAACTAAAATCAAATTTGATTAATTTTAAATGATTGTAACATCATCAACCAACCTTAAATATCAAAGATCTTACCTGCTCGCACAGTTTTTGGAAAATCTGGAATTCTTTTGCCTCCTCTTTTGATTTCTGTCCTTTGTTAATGATGTATACAAAATCATGAGTTAAAACAAATGGCACCCGTTCTCTTCTGAAGCCGAATTTTTCTTTAAAATGACCCAAAATGTGACCAAAGTCAATATGGAACAACTGACCATTTGTTCTAATCATAATGTTATCCGAATGCCGATCGGCTATTCCAAGCACATACGTTGCAACACAGTATCCAGCGCACGAGTACATAAATTCTTCTGTTGCTTTATTGAGAGCAGCTTCTGTTGGGTTGTAATCTTTCAACCATGCTAGCAAAGATCCTTTGCGGAATGCTGAGGTGGCTGTGAACATTCCCTTTTCCTTCTGAATATTTGCAATAGTCTCTGCATTTAGAACAACTTGAATGAGACCAAGGCGTTGATCCAATGAAATGCAATGATAAGGGGTCATCCGCAAGTCTAGACCTTCTTCTTTCCACATTTTGTCCATTATCCTGAACATTTGAAGCGTTAACATGTCTTGACGGAGGTCATCTCCACTTTTGAAAATAATGTGAATATCATCACCATGAACATCCGAATTATCAAACACAAGCCAGAGTGGACGCATTTTGCTATCCATCACTTTACATTTTTCTATTCTGAAAACATAAATAAAATCAGAAATTAATATCATGAGTTGCAGATCATCATGAACAAAAGATGTGAGGTACTTTGGTTAGGGTAGGAAGTAATATTTTTCCATTAAAAAAAGGCAAAGAAACACATAGATTCCATAATGTTACTTCCAAATAAACATTCCAGTAGTGATTGGTCCATTAATAAAACAGACGACTAATAACAAAAGGCCTGGGCCACCTAGTTATCCAGAGGAACATTCAGAAGAAAATCTTGAAAATTATAACGCCTCCTTGGCAATAAAAAAACTGAGTGGCAGTCTTCCACCAAACTAACGTCCAAATTAGTATCATGTGCGCAACCAAAAGATAGCACAGGTAAAAGAAAAAAAACTACAAATGAAACTTTCGATACGCATTTAAGGAGTTATACTTTACTATGTCTTAAAGAAGCTGGAGAGAACTAGCGGAAAAGTTAAAGAAAGCTGAGCATGTTAAGGTGGTAATTAGATACTTACTTCAACCTCTTCAATTTTATGCTTGGATCTAAGGGACTGTAGACATCAGAAAATGCTTCAACACAATGTGGCTCTTGTAAATAAGTGACCAAAAACTGCCTAACTTTATCTTTATCCTTATCTCTTTTGGATTTTATGATTTCGGTTATGACTCTAAACTTCTCAATCATGTGTGCTTGTTTATCCAATATTCTCATGTGCTCTGGAGCTCCTCTACAATACGTTTCCAGGATTAAGCCATGTTTGATTGATAAGGCTGGAACTTGCATTTCTGACCTGAAATAAAAAGAAAAATACTTTAAGATAAAATGGTCATGGTAGGGTTCTGGTAGGATAAATTTTATAAGTTCCTAAAATAAGTTAAGATGGCGTTCAAAAAAAAATACCTGATGTTAAATTTTGGATTTCCCTTGTGATATAGGTTACTATCCTAAAACACCTAAAAACAAAATGGTGTAAAGCTCTCTTCGACCCTTTTCCCCCTAGAGCAACTCGTATTTCATGAATCGCCCTTGAGAAAAAAAACACAAAAATATCAACTACAGAAGATATTACATTTTAGGCATGGTAAAATTTGTTTCAGATCTGTGCCCATGAGTTGAAATTGAGGCTTTTTAAAGTTATGAGATATGGATTCAGACATATGCTGCTAAATTGATTCCACAGAGTGAGATGAAAAAACTTGATTTAGAGCATGGACTCTAAAGTTAAATCCCAATTTGAAGAGGCTTAATAATTATTTCATGACCTTTTGGGTCAAAAAGTTACATATCATTCACCTTCAGTGGTTGACAGAGAATTTTTTTCACACATATTTTCGTTTTAAATTTTCTTGTAAGGTTGATTTTTTCTTTTTTTCACATTATGGCTTCTGCTTCAAAATGTCTTGCAAGATCAATTTTTCGAGTATTTTCCTCAAAGAGAGCTGTTTACATGCTACCTATCTATTATTATTATTGGATTTTACTTGTTCTTTAAAATTATCAAGAAGAAACCAACAATGAGGGGCAAGTTCAGCATTTGTTCAATCTGATACACATACTCCTAACATGGGAACTCTTTGATCAGTCCCAAACGCATTTGGTATTTTGACAGACAGCATACATTTACACGAATACCTATTAGTTGTGCTTGTTAACGAGAGATGTATTTGCTTCAATCCTCGTAAGTATAGAGACTTTTCATGTAAATCTGTTCAAATAAAAGAAAGAAAATCAAATAAAAGCAAACCTTAAATGCCAGAAAAAGAAGTGCCCTATTCTTTGATTTCCCAGAGCTCTTGTTAACAAGAATTCCACAAGATCATTGTGTAAAAATGCCTCATGTTTGGTCGCTTGAATTAGCTGAATGAGGAACAAATCCAAATCATCATCACTGGAAAATAAGGAAACACTATCAATTAACATGAACACAAAGATACAAAAAGAAATTTTGGCAAACGTTTTGGAGGGATCTGACAACATACTGATTCTATATCAAGTTGCTGGAGTTTTCTTTAAACCATTTCTTCAGTTGTTGGAAACATTTATCCATAGAGACAATGGGTGTTACCCTTTTAAAAAATCTATTTGGCTCATTTACAATGGATTTGACTTAAAATTCAAAGGATTTTTTTCTTTTTTAAATTTTCAGGGGGAAGGTGTGTCCTAAGTTAATCATTCATGCAGAATTCTTTCGGTTCCAATTACGCAGAAGACAGAGCTTCGAAAATTGAAAATGCATTTTTTTCGAGACTTATGAACTCAGCATAAGCAACTTTTACAAATAAAGCTTCCTATGATAAATAGGTTTTTGATGAAATATAATTTCCATGATTAAGATTCATGTAGATATGATGAACTGTCCCATAAGGCCATTCTTGAAATACAACACGGACAAAAAAGATGCTAAGGTAACATACTGGATGTTACTTTAGCAACTTTTTTTTCTGTAAAATTAAGGATGTATCATGTATTGACAATGAAACTGCAAAGATACATGTTTCAATTGCAGTGCCTCACAATCTTTGCTTTAATTTTTTCATCAAGACTTTAAACTTTCATAGAATGATCTTCACACCGACAGCAAAAATCACCGAAATGTTCAAGCAATGACGTTGAGTGTTCCTCTTTTTCGAAAATAAAAACTAACAAGGAATGATAAGGAAATCTGCAACACTGAAAACTGAGAAACGTATTTATGCAGTTTCACCATCGGGGCCTTCGGACGTAATGGGCCTTCAGACAAGATATGAATTAAAGCACTTCGTTGTAGGTTTTCTTTTCCTAATTTCGCGATCAAAACAAATAACACAATAAGAAGTATGGAAATCAACTCCTGAATAAGATATCAGTGTCTACAATTAGCACCTATTGAATGGCAAGAATACAAGCCATGCCATCTATATGATCTAACATATGATCTGTGTGGAAAAGATTCATTGATATCTTGTCGATGAGCTAAGCTCCGAACATCCTGCTGCATGAGTCGTTTTCTATGTAAGATTTTGAAGAGAAAACAAGTGATTTATTTTCTAGTTCAGACCTTGTCTGATGGTCCATGGCAAGTACTTAAGCTATCGATCACTCACATAAGATGACAGTGATGTTCTTACCCAAATTTAAATAGGCAACGCACAGCAAAGCTTCTGACCATCTGATCGGCATAAGCATAATCTAAAAGTTCGAGAGAATTTTCAGGAGGCAACAACGGCCATTCTCGGATCAACCTCGTAATTTCTGCTACTTCCTCTGCATTGTTCCACTCGACACAGCCCAAAAGTTTCGGCAAAAGAGTGGGTGCAATAGTCATCATTTCATTTCTAACTCCCCATATATCCTTCCTTTCTTGAACATGCATTTCGTACAGAGGGTCCCGTTCTTGTATTGATCTGTAAAAGCGCAGAGAAATAGTAGAGGTACAGAGTGATGAAAAATAAGTTTCTTGCGTAGTTTTTATCTAGGAGCAAAAAACGAATGAATAGACAATGACGCGTCCGCATCCTCCCTATCCAGGTACTCCAGTAATCATCAACTGACATATATTTTGTTTAAATTTTGGATGGTACATTCCAGAGTGTGCACTGACTATGAGTTTCCAGAGATAAATCTATAGATCAAAGGACTGAATACAAATGAGTAAGGCATTAAAATGGACAGGGCCAATTTAATGAGAATAATGAGAGAAGGAGATCATGTTTGCAAATGAATGAAGCAAGTTGCTGGCATAAGATGGTCATGATTACCGTTGTTCATTTAGTAATAATAGGGTCATCACTACCCATCCTTTTCTAAATTAAAAACAAGCACCATTTTTTCATTTGCGACTTTCCCCAGAAAAAGGAACTTCAGTTAAAAAAAAGGGCAAAACTGAGTTACTGATATCAGAAGACACGAGAGTTTTCTACAACATTTTGGGACCATATATGCCTTAACAAGTCAAACCAAACCGGAATTGGGGCAATTTGAAGTTCTTAGTTCACAAAACTTAGTTTTGAGAAGGAGCTGTACAAAATTTTAATCTGCCATGGACAGTTAGGTCCAAAATTGCCGGATAATAATGCAGATACACCCTGTCCATTAGGACAAAAATCTACTATACCGCTCACAAGTTGCTCTGTAGAACATTAAAGAGAGCTTTCTGTCGAAATATACCGATCTTATTTGTTGACCAACTTGACAAAATGCACTGTAATCAAAATTTGGCTTCTGTGGACAAGGATCTCGTTAGCTATGAACGGTAAGAAGTTGCAATTAATGAATTATCAATTACCTGATCTTGTCAATAACAGCTCTGGGTGGCTGCTCATTGGTAGAATTATCATCCTTGGCTTCTCTTCCACGGTTTTCTAGGGCAAATTCGACTAATTTTTCTACATTCGGGTACATTATGATACTATCACCGTCATACCTGAAAAAAGGGATGAAAAGAACTTAGGAGGTATAAAAACAGTAAAGAAAATACAAAGAAACACAAGATATGAATAAACTTAGATGTTAGGAGTCAAACGAAAACTTTTAAGATGTCATAGTTGAGAAAATTTTGAAAAATTAGAGACAATGAATGGTTTCTTGAAGCAAGAGTGATCACTTCAGGTACCTGACCTTATCACCTGAATACAGAGATTTACCTGATGTAATAACTCAACCACTTTGAGAAATTTTGAGAGAAACCTTGAGAGGGTAAGCTCTGAAAATTTTACAATTAAAATAGAAAAGAATAACCCCATGTTTAAGCTCACACAGACCTCTGAGAATTTAGAAATACAAAAACGGAGGGGATATTAAAAAGGATGTATCATGAAAGATAACTTATCACACATTAACGGTCATTTTGAAATTTGCACATGAATATTTAAGAAACTTAGATATTTGTAGCAAAGAATAAAAAAGCCCTTATACATAGACAGCAATACTTACTTCTGAAAAGATATAGTTAAGGCTGGACAGTGCTCAATATTGGGATTCGAAACAGCGGATCCCAATGGATTTAATGAGTCTTCTGAAAGAGTGTCATCAGCGTAAGGTCATAGATTGTTGTGTTCACCCAGTAGAGAGGATTAATTAGTACATCCTTTGAACAAAAAAATAAAAAGCTAAGATGATAGCCTCCGGCGAAACCTAGAGTCTATACGGCTTCGCCGCACGACTAAAAAAAGACAAAGTCATTTAGAAATTTAGAGTGAAATATCTTTAGAGGTACAGTGCTCGGGTGAAGAATATGAGGCTTCTTAAAAAATGTTTCGTATCAGCCTTATTGTCACCTCGCCTCTTCTGAATTCTATACAGACTATGTAAAAAACTTCAAATATCAAGACTATAAAACTTACAGTCAACCCAGAATCTATTCAACTATATTCAGTACTTCTACACTCATACTTACTATACTTCTATACTTACTTTCAGTATATTCTGTACTTCTATTCAGTTCCATTCAACTATGGTAAAAACTTTATATATCAAGACAACAAAACTTACAATCAACCCAGAATCCACTTATCATTATGTATCTGGAGCATTTAGAAATTGACACTAGGGGAGGAAAATAGAAAAACTTTGGAGAGATTTGACAGCAATAGACAAAGCACCAGTGAAGTTCAAATGATGGAATAATAATTTTCACTGCATTATAACATGAATTACCTTTGATGTACTTCGACGAACAAAAGGCCAATGGTGTTTTCACATTTTCATCTTCTGATTTTTGCACTTAATAAAACATGTAATGCTCTAGGAGGTGAGGGTTTAGGAGGTTCTGCCATTTTGTTTTTACATGTTTAAGTATAGAGACAAAGGTGCGTCATAAAAGCGTTGTGAGGGGTGGAGGCAAAAAATCAGAAATTTAGCAAACCACCACTTTCAGAGAGTGTTTTTTCCCATTCTTTACATTAACCTTTGCAGAAACAGGCTTAGATATTGTAAACTGAGTTTGAAAAATAAGACATGGAAGAGAGGAGAATTTACCTGTTTGCTATCACGTAATTTTTTAGCTTTGACTCCTTTTGTCTTTGAGAGTTCATAAACCACTATGCACAGCCGGGCCATTCGAGGGATATTACTGACCGCCACATCAAATTGGATGTCTTTTTCCCATTCAGCACTGCCATCTTTTGCAACCTCTTTTTCAGTGGTTTTTTGTGCCTCGCATAAGGATTTTCCACCATGAAAAATGCCACAGTGAACACCAACCTGAATTAAATAAGAGAATGGAATGAAGAAGGTGAATTCATAATCACGGAGGAGAAAATATAAATAAATTTTCAAATTCAAACGGTGAGATGGATTACATTACTATGGAACACAGTGATTGCATATTCAAGAATATTCAGTGAAATCAAGCCATCATTAACTGTTCGTTATCAAATTCTGTGTTATTTTATCTTTTGTAGCAGGAAAAATTTAGTTTTTTTAAAGCATTTTACAGAATGATCCTAACAGTGCAAGTAAATATGATTGAAGTGTCAAGATGAAACATTCTTTTTAAATAATTCTGGAATTAAAGCCATGAATCATTTGATGATTTTAAGCTCATAACTATTCGGATGAGAGAGAGGAGAGTACAAATAAAAATATTAGAGAGAATTTACCTCTGTGATTTTATTTGCATCACAGTTCATTCGACTAATTGCACAAATCTTGAACCTAAATTTATCATGAATTGATAACGCATAGATGTACTTAGTTTTCTTTCGTAACGTAGTTGTAGAGAAAGAAGTTCTTGTTTTTCTATTGTCCAGTTCATCAGGATTTTCATAGACATTTTCCACATGAACTGAAAAAAAATCATATCATTTGGTCCATGAGATGAGCCACCAATCTGGGTACAGAATATCATTCTATAAATTGTATACAATCCCCGTAAATGGGTAACTCCTTTTGATGTGACAATTTGGGGTATTTGACTTTATTTCAGTGCTTACACACAAAAAAATATTCAACATGAATATTGGGTGGAAGGATTTTGATAAACCTTTAGTGGCAGAATTCAATTACATTGGTCTGATATTTTCCTCAGTTTTTCTTTTGTTCTATCATCACAAGTTCTAATCATGCACATAAGAGATACATCTTCTAGATCAAAGAATCTGAAATTAATTTGGTCTCTAGAAAAATCTATTGAACAGGTAGTTTCATTTGGTTAAGAAACACTTGACTCTTAGAGTAAGTATCGTCCAGCTTTTCATTTACAGTCCATGTTAAAAAAGTTCATGAACTTTTGGAGTGCAACAGAATATCAGCTCTCTTTGGCTGAGCATTGAAATAAAGTACAATAATTAAGGTGGAGGATATTTCTGTTGGACTATAAGAAAGCGCAAGTGTACTTGGCATGAACTCTAGGCAGGAAGTCTGGAGACAATAGCAAAAGACAGAATGTTCTGACTACTGGGATATATTTTTTTTGTGTCAACTGTGATTGTTCGAATATGGAACTCAAACTGTTTCTTACTTTTGTGACATTTTAACTGGCTGATAAACTTCAAACGAATTAGTCCTCTGGTTAGAATAATACAAAGTTACAATGTTTTTTGCTGCCTCAAATGCAGTAACAATAAATGGTGCCATCAGTGTTTTTTCTAGTAAGAACAAGATTTCACCAAAAATTTTTATAATTTTCGTGTGGTTTATCCGTTCCAAATGATGCCACAGGGCTCTGATTGGGTTTTTTGACATCAAAATATTTAATTATAAAATCCTGATTTTTATTCTATCTTTACAGAAGGGTTATTGGCCGTAAGTATGACTACTACTACTACAACTACTCATTACTGACTAAAATCCAACCAAAAAGAATGTATCATCGCCTTATCAATATATGCTTACCTGGAATTTTGTGCACTGAAATGATGACCAACGACGGTGTTGCATCCTGAGATAGAGCTTCTTGAATATACAGGAATCGTATCAGCGGGTAATCACCAACGAGATATTCCTCACGCCCACAAGCTTTAAGCGCAAATTCAGAAACATGCTCCCCTTTAGAGTTTAATGTGATAGCTTTCTTTTGTAATATCATACTGATTAGAAGTTCGGGAGTAGTTGTATGAGGAACATTAAAAGTAAACATCATCTGTAACATTAATTATTATTCATCAACAAAAAGCCACAATATGGGATAAAATATACAAACCGTTTAGGAACCTAAGAAAAATAAAATGGGAAACAACAATTAAAAAATATTCAAAGGAAACCTGAATAGCCCAAGTTAAAATTATATTTGCCTTTAGAATGAAGCGTTCCTTTTTTTTTTACCTCCCGAAACTCCAAGAAGGAGCATATTTTAGCATTGGGTCTATTCGCACAGGAGATTCAGATAAATTAATAGACTATATAGAAGCAAAATCTTCGTTTGCCATTAGTAACCAGGTTCGTCCTGAAGCAGATATGAGAAAACCTGTCTAAATAAAAAATCTTGCAAACTGTTGTAATTTCTTCTCCGTTGTATGAAAACATTTGTATCTCACTTACACAGGGAGAGAGGGGGGGGAGGGAGGGAGAGAGAGAGAGAGGAAGTAAAACAATTGTTATATGTAGAACAACTGGGATTATGAATTTAAAAACAGTTTGTGAGATTATGAGTAAAAGATAGATTGGGCTTTCTTACATCTCTCTCTGTAAAAACCTGGTTGCAAAAGACAAAGAAAAAAAGGACTGCAGAGATGGGAGGAATGAAATTGCATGATAAACACTGATTAAATTGAGAATTGAAGAGTGAATTTCAGACTTCTTATAGGTGCTCATTGTGATTTTATGGCAGGTGTTCATTTAAAAGTCACACAGTTACAGTGTTCGAAACTCACAGGCGCCAACGCGCCAAATGCGCCTAAAGAATCCACCATGGCGCCTAAAAAATGAAGGCTCGGCGCCAACTTGGCCCCTAAAAATCCAAATTTTCAAATTAGGTGATTATTTGAAATTTGCAGCACTACAAGTAAAAGCTTTTTCTATTCTTCACGATTTCATTCTTAGTGCTTTTGTCTTCCCCAAGTTACAGCTTCTTACTAGTTCTGTTACTAAAACATCTTGCGTCTAACTTTTCACTAAATGCGCCGTAATATATACGCAAAAAGTCAATTTGGCCCTTAAAAAATCTTCAATGGCGCCTAAAAATCGGGCTTGATGCGCCACATGGCTCCTAAAACTCAAAGGTGAGTTTTGAACACTGCTCAGTTATCTGGATCTCCAGGTTTGACAGACTTATTCTTAAAAGTGGCATCTCTCAGGGGCCTGCAGGCTTGTTCGGAGGGGTTCAACAAATACAAGACACTTTAATAGAAGTTTAAATAGATAATACATACTTCCATAAAATTTAAAAGAATGAATAGTAAAAGAGTTTCAAACAAAATACATACTGGAATTCAACAGAAATAGGGAGATCTTGGTAGACACATAAAATGAAAAGTCTCAACAAACCTCAGTATTGTCGAATTTGATGAGAATAACAAAATTGCCATCCTTTAAGCGGCTGAGTATGTGCCTTGAGAGAGTGGCATCTGCCGCTGTCAAGCGAGGGGGGAATTGATATAATAACCTTTCAAACCAGGATTTATGCTGACGCTTACGGATTTCATCATCTGCCAACTGTTTCATTCGCGATCGAAAAGAATTTACTTCCGGATTTTTTAATGAGTCAAATTCATGCAAACCTGTAAAAATTGAGAAAAAACAGTTAAAATGAAACAAAACAAACTAAGCATTTAAGGGAAATACTTAGGAGTAAAATTGAAAAGCAAAAATCATGAGGGAAAATGTAGAAAAAGCTGTGGAAACATTTGCAAGCTGACTGTAAGCGTCAGATCCAAAAAAAATATCTGATGGACTTTTTGGAAGAACTGGAGGGAGCTAAGTAATTAGCATTTCTGATACGGAAAGGTAAAGAGCATTCAGTAGGTTGGGTGCCTTAAAAAGAGGTGGTGTAAATAGGTCACGAGTGACTCATGTTAGTCAATGAGTAAATGCTAATTTCCTAGTACTGTTTGGTCATTCATCATCTTTTACGCATTATCCTTAACAAAATAGCAGTTGATAGTAATTTGATGGCAAAAATGTTAGAGATAATAAAATGTTTTAGACACTTAAGAAGTACATATAATTAGTTACTTAAAATTATAGGAAGTACTCATATTTCCTAAGGAATATGAAAATCGATAGGATCTTGTAAAAAGATTAAACATGAACTGTTGCTGGCAAGTAACTAAGCGACACTGAAGAAACTATTTGTTTGAATATTTGTGCGCAGCGGCAGACAAAGCGTTAAAGAAGACTTACTTTTGCCAATTAATAAGCTGATCTGTTGGTTTAAGACTATTTCTGCTTTGTCTCCTTTCCTTTCGACAATTTTCAGGACAGAGCTGAACGGCCTAATATCACAGAGACGTTTATTTTCGTCAATAAGTTCTTCTGTCTCAGCCAAAGAATTAATGCAGCAAAATATGTAAGAATTCGCATCATGGAGGAGTCCCAATAGTGGGTATTTTGTCGCTTCATCCCACAAATCCTAGAACAAGGGATACTAGAGATGAATTAACAATGAAAGGTAGAGCAAATGTGACACAAACGCGGAAGACACTAAAATGATCACTATTAAAATGGTTCCAAAATGAAATCCCACATTTTAATGGGATCTCACAAAAGTTACCTGCTTGCGACGATTTCTAGAAAGTTACGTCAGTTTCCTAGCTTTCAAAATTAACACATACATAGAATTTTTGGACTGGACATGGAAAAATTGCAAATTAAGGAAGTAGGAAAAAAGCAAAGAATTACCGAGTTAAAAAAAAAAAAAAAGTAAAGAGAGAAAATATTAAAAATCCATCAACATTTTTTATTCAAAATGTTTTAGTCTCATGGATCTAAAAAGAATCATGCAGCATCGCCTACACATCTTTAGATCAAATGATTTACCCCTTGTATTTGTAAAGAGCCCTGCGTTAAAAACTAAGAGATGATACTGCACCAGCTAATATTTATTATTGTTTGATGTGATGATTTTTGCGACCTCCTAGGCTTGATAAGTTTTCAGAATTGGACTTTCCAATGCCACTTACAAAAAATGCAGGGTTGATAAGTGATTTTCCAACAATGCCAGCATTTTAACTCATTTCATACACACATACACACAGAAGAAAAAAGAAGACAATGTTGCAATTGTTGTTAGATGTGTGTCTAAAGAGATAGTCTTTCCTAATTGGCCTGGAAGATGTGACAGACGAAAATAATAGAATTCCTTTGAATGATGACAGAATGTGGTGCAAGGTCAACACACATACAGCAACATGCCAACATTTTCATTAAAAGATAAGTGTAAGAATGCTGAAAATTCACCTTTCAGTCCTACTTTTCTTATCTATGGCATGAAGAAAGTTTGATTTCAAAAGCTCATTGTGCTCAGAAGGTTGACAATATAATCATGTCAAATAAAAACAGAATTTAGCTGCTGTTGTGTTATACAGTTTCCTGAATAGGGTCCTTTTTGGTCAGACATTTGACACCACCCATTTGATATTTTTTTTTTTTTAAAAAAGCCTGCCAATAAACTAATGTTATTTTACAAGCAAAGCTTATACAGCACTTTAATGATGCTTGAATTTTTAATGGAAGCTTGTTTCTCCAAGTAAAATATATAGAAACACTCAATTCCATTGCCTGGGTATATGTCATGGGTATTATGGAACCTTAAAATATTGTAAAATAGGATAACTTTTTCAAATTTTCTTCAGTTAATTTTGGACGCAATAAACGACAATAAATAAAGAAATGAAAAGAATGAAACTCATACCTCTTTGATTTCATGAAGGGTAATATTTCTGTTGACTTCCAGAGGTATGAATATGCCATTGGGCATGAGGCAGCTGAGCTCAACACTTTGATCTGTTGTATTCCGGAACCAAAAGTCATATTTGTAAGAGCTTTCCACACTGTGGACCATCCTTTTTCTCAATTATCTGTAAAGATGAGGCAGAAGATCAAAATGAACAGTATTGTAGGTGTGCTAAGACTAACTATCCATGCGTGTCTATGATAGGCCAATCACACCTTTTAATAAATGGACTGCTTTTAACAGAAAGGAACACTAGCTATTGCCAAATTTAATTGGGCAATTTAATTTTATACATGAAAACGGTTGTGGGGATTTTTGTGCAAAGTTCGGTGAATTCTCTCCATAGCGCAAAGCGAATTCCTTAAAATTTTCAAAGGAATCCGCACAAACGTTCTCACATAGATAATTAAATTGCCCAGTTTTTGGCAATAGCTGATGTGGCTTGATTCTTTTCTCTTAAATGCGGTCCAAATATAGTAAGTCTACTTTGCAAGGTAAGAAAAGATTTAAATGTTTGTCCATTCTTGACTGACCAACACCAGCGGCCTGATCCTTGAAATTTTGTGATAGTCAGGTAGACATAGATGACATGGGTTAAAAGGCGGGGCGTGATTGGTCGGCTATGTCTTATCGCTGCTTTATCGTGCCTTTGTCAGGTGGAATGAACGACATACTGTCAGGAACTTAAGAGGTGCCTTTAGAGTGTCGTGAGTTCCACCCAACATAGGCACGACCTAGCAGCGATAAGACATAGCCGACCAATCACGCTCCGCCTTTTAACCTATGTCATCTATGTCGACCCGACAAACACAAAATGTCAACAATCAGGCTACAGGAGCGTTTGACTCGTGCTGCCATGCTTAGGAGAAACAGCAAGTGCGCCTCCGAACGTTGCCAAATTTCCTTGGAAAAATCACGAATTTTCAGCATACCTATCTGGATGACAGTTTTTCCTAATTTATTGGGAGAATTTTTTTTTGCAGTTTGAGTTTTGCAGCCTCTGAAAATTTCTAGGAAAACTGTTTTCAACTTTCTTAAAAAAATGAATATTTTCTGAGAAGAAATTTGGCAACATCCAAAAATTCATACAGCTTTCTTACTAAAGCCCACAGGCTTCCTTGATCAAATGAAATGATCGAATGCAAGATGGCAGAGATGCGTACTGGTTCCACGCAATCAAAAGTTGGTGGGCCGTCGAATATTGATAAATAGAACCCGTGCAGCCTTGCGCATAAACCAGTCCAGTACGCATCTCCACCATCTTGCATTTGATTAGTTCATTTGATCGTGAGACACTGGCTGAAGCACGGCAGCATACAAAAGCTATCCTCAAGAGCCTCCGGGGCGATTATTGAAATGATATCGACTGTATGTCGCCGCTTTGTCTTGTCGCACCATCGACTAAGCATATGCTTAGTCGATGGCGCAACACGACAAAGCGGCGACATACAGTCAATAGCATTTCAATAATCGCCCCGCTGCCTGGAAAAGATCCATACTGTTCCCACCGATAGAGACCTACTTGAATGAAAGCGAGTTCTAATACAGCATGTGACCTTCCATGATTTAAAATAATACTTTTATGTCTTTATAATAGTATTGAAAATTACTGAATTGGTCTGGACAATTTTCTAGCCTTAAAAAGAGCCAGATGCTTCATAAAAATTTACTAAGTATAGTTCTCATCTGAGCATCAAAGGACCAAATCATTAATTGCAGTCTGAGGCTGTGAATTAATGACATACGGGTTCTAGTGCCAACAAATCAAATATGGGGGCCAGAAGCACCATCAGTAATGAAAACCATTAGTGAGGCCAGACAGTTTAAGACACTCAGGATGTTTGATATTGTATGTTCTCGTGCACGCAGATATGACTGTAACCTGCAGACCTTCCCTAGGTCTGTGCAGACAGCTTACCAACCAGAAGTATATCGACGGTGTAAGTCGGCAATCACATAACTCGGTTTGCAATGTCGCAGATTTCCTGTGGAACTTCATATTTTAAACAAAAAACTACACAACAGCAATTCTTTAAAACTGCCTTGATTTTGCTCCTCTGTGCAAAGAAAATGATGCAAAAACTTCAAGGAATGATGTCAATTTATTCTCCTTAAAAAGAATAACATAGAGGTGGAGACTTTCACACACCGCAAACGAGTTATGTGATTGCCGACTGACATTGTCGATATAGAGAAGCACTTTCCCAATCATAGGAGGTCCGAACGCATTATGCCACAGAGTGACGGAGCAGCATGGGCTTGCACAGGCTTGGCCGGAGAGCATACAAACATTGTAACCAGTGCATAAGGGAACACTGAGTGTAGTAATATGGAGATTTCAAGGTGAAGGCTGCAAAATTTATGAGTGCCCAAGTAAGAAATGTTCTCCTAACCTTCAGTGGTGTTTGACTTCAAAGTAAAAAATTAGCCATTTAGTTCTGTACAAACATAGTTTTACGAACCATACCAAAATCAACTAGAAAACTATAACAGTGAAACCAACTTCTATCAATATTAGTCAAAAACGCTGCTATAGTTCTTGCAATTACTTACCAGCCACTAATGACTACAAAAACCATGGCCATACCAAAGTAAAAGACCTTTGCCAACCGTCTTAAAGGGTTAAACTTTGAATTCAGTTATGATTAAGGTGATGTTTGCTTGGATCTAAATAATGCAATAGCTCACGATTGTCCAGTACAACGCAGAGAGGGAACAGAGAAACTGAGGTTCCTCCATTAAGGTGGACGTTTAACGCCGTCTTTTAGAAAATGAGACACGGATACGATATAAATACGGGCAGCAAGGATCCCAAATGCAAAATGCTAGATTAAAACATAATATTAAATGAAAATAACTTGTCAGAAAGATGTAAACAAAGTCATAACAAAGTAATAAAACTAACCTCAATGTTGGAAGTCACAAATACATCTTACAAGACACCCAGGAAAGCATTAAAAAATCAGTAACTGTTCACGAAGGAAAAGTAATTTTGAAGTAAAAGGGGGAAAAAAGTCATTAGCTACGAGTCGGGACATTTACTGAGAAAACAAATGCGGATATCGGATAATCAGCCAATGGTTACCAAAATCCAAATTCTGATGCTCCAGATCATGGAATATTCTTTTCATATAGGTAGCGCTCCGGCGCTCGCCATAAGCGGAACGAGCCTGCTTGCGGAAGGGGATATAGAGAGGGTACATGCGCCTGGCTTGGTAAGCAGCGTGTTTTACACCTGATCTAACTTAACAATCTCCACTGCATACCACTACATGCAGAGTAAGAAAGTCAGTATACAGCTATGAGTATACAGAGGGTTTCTTTGCGGAAACATGTTGCTTTAGGCTACCGGAACAACATAAAAAAAAATTACCGGAATCAGCCGTCCGGCAAGGCCAACATCTTGAAAAAGGGGGCGGGCGAGGAGGCCAAAATACGCCGCCGGCGACCGGTTTTTCGCTTACCAATATCTCAAAAACAATCACTCCCAGGGGAAAATGTCATTACTACCATTAACAAAGAACCATTTATAAAGCGCACAAAATTTCCGATAAGAAACACTACACATTTGTGGCCTCAAATTTATGAGATATCGCGGCAGTTCGATCTTTACGGCTGGGAAAGTCGTATTTTGCTTGACATCGCGCTTTTCCCTTGAAATCTGCAATTATTGTCTAATAGGTACACGGCGAGTCTGATGAGAAAAATTGTTCTTACTAAAATGAAAGAGCATAAAATTTCCAATAAAACAGTGCCTTTCATTTTACTAAGGGTACGCCTCTGGATCGCTATGCGGTCCGACCCAGTTCCATCAAGTAACATTTCTCAACGGAAAAATTGCTAAATATTGCGATTTTATCGGCGACAAAATCGCCAGGATCATCAGTACATCTGAGCGATTATCCTCGATCTTATCGCTTTTATTGCCCGATAACTTATCGCGAAGTTTCCGAAATGAAAATCGCTATAAATAACGATTTAATCTCGATTTTATCGAACCAAAAATTGTAATGTGTAGCGGTTTAATCGCCGTAGATCGCAATTTTTAATGCGATAATATCTCGATATATTGCCCAGGACCGGATTAAGGGGGTGGCCACATGGGCCGCGGCCCATGGCGGCAAGTCTATAGGGGTCGGCAAATTTTGCAATTTTTTTAAATGTATGTATATAGGTATAAATAAAATCGAAGTTAGAAAAAAAAAATTACAAACGAGAGAAGGCGACGAAATCTCTCATTTCCTGAAAGTAGGTATAGTAATTTCTAATTTTGTCGTATTTCAGTGATACAAGAGACAGCACCTTTAATTAGTCGAGTTAAGAGAGAAACCAAACTCGCAATTTGCCCTGGAACGGCGCGACTTCGACTTAGAGAGAAATGATGACGAGGACTTGAGATGAAAAGAAGAAGCCCTCGGCGCGGCGATCGGCATATGTAACAGTAACACATATTAGAGCCTACAAGGCTGCACGAATACTTCACGCATTGCATCGAACACAGTGCGGTCATTGCGGTCAGCGTGGAACGGATAGCGCCTACAAGAATGCATGAATACTTCACGCATTGCGGCAAACACAGTGCGATCAGCGTAAAACGCATAGCGCCTACAAGACTGCGTGAATACTTCACGCATTGCGTCAAACATAGTGCGTTCAGCAGAGGTCGGCGTGAAACTCATAGCGCCTACAAGACTGTCGGAATACTTCACGCATTGCGCCAAACACGGTGCGGTCTTCGCGGCGCGGCGGCGGAAGTTAAAATCATTACTTAATCCACATTTATGTTTATTCTTTCATAATTTTTTTTTTTCGTTCATTTCTTATGAATGGACGGCCTTGTCCATACAGCGATAGGTTTACGAAACTTAACCTTCGCGCAAAGTTCTGTGAACTTTTGCTAGTAGTGTTGACAGGACTTCCCCAAAAAATGTGTTCAACACGAGTAAACGCGTCTTATTCACCCCTCCCCTTCCGCCCTTCCCCGCTGGCACGTTCATTTGATGGTTTTTATTGATGTTTCAAAACGAGTGAGAAGGGGGCGGCAAAATACAGGCGGCCAATGGGCGGCAAGTAGGTAAATCCGGCCCTGATATTGTCACCGATATAATCGCGATAACCAACCGATAAAATCGCCATTTATCGCGATCATTGCTACTTGCGATGGCAGCCACTCAGGCCCCCCAGATAGGGGGGGGGGGGGGGCGGCGGCAAGTAGGTAAATCCGGCCCTGATATTGTCACCGATATAATCGCGATAACCAACCGATAAAATCGCCATTTATCGCGATCATTGCTACTTGCGATGGCAGCCACTCAGGCCCCCCAGATAGGGGGGGGGGG